ATTTCTAACACTCCTTTCTGCACTTAACTTCTGAGAAAATGATACTTCGTCTCAATGGCTTGCTTCTTCCATGTAGCACTGGATTCTTGGCAAGATCAATTGCAGACTTATTATCAATCATCAGCTTCAGAGGTTCCTCAACTTCAACCTTCAGGTCATGCAAGAGATTCAGAAGCCAAACAGCTTGCCAAGCAGCTACAACACCTACGATATACTCAGCATCACATGTTGACAGAGCCACGACAGGCTGTTTTCTTGGAACTCCAGGAAATGGGACCTCCGGAAAATTTAAACAAGTATCCAAAAGTACTTCTCCTGTCCACTCTGTCTCCACACCAGTCAGAATCAGAATAACTTACTAATTCTGACTCTGTCTTTCTTTTAGAGGGAAACAACACTCCATATCTCAGGGTTCCCTTGATATATCTCAGAATTCTGACAGCAGTTTGGAAATGAGACCACTTTGGATTACTCATGAATCTGCTAACCAATCTAACTGCATAACAAATGTCATGTCTAGTATTACATAAATACCTTAGAGACCCAACCAACTGTTTGAAGGTTGTAGAATCAACAGAATCACCATCAGAGTCAGAATCCAATTTTTGATTGGTTTCTAATGGTGTCACAACAACTTTGCAATTCTGCAGCTTAAATCTCTTCAAAAGTTCTTGTTCATTTTTAACTGATACAGAATGATACCCTTTTTCGAGTACATAATCTCCATCCCTGGGAAATATGTCATTTTTCCTAGATCTCTCATCTCGAACTCATTCATTAGAACTTCTTTGAACTTCTTTATATCTTTTGGGCAGCTACCTGTTAGCAAAATTTCATCAACATAGAGACATACCAGAATCATATTGTTATCATAGTGTTGTATATAAACTCCATATTCCATCTCACATTTCTGAAACTCCCGCTTCTTGAAAAATGAATCAATTTTCAGATTCCAAGCTCTAGGCGCTTGCTTCAGTCCATACAGAGCTTTATCCAACCTGTATACCATCCCTTCCTGATTCTTTTTTACAAAACCAAGAGGTTGTGACACATAAACTTCTTCCTGTAATGGACCGTTCAGAAATGCAGACTTCACATCCAAATGAATTAAAGACCAATTTCTATTTGCACCTAAAACAATCACCAGTCTGATTGTTTCATGCCTAGCTACAGGCGCAAACACCTCAAAGTAATCTAGCCCAGGTTTCTGAAGAAAACCTCTGGCTACTAGTCTAGCTTTGTGCTTTCCAATTGAACCATCTGGCTTAAGTTTCAACTTAAAAACCCATCTAACGCTGATGGCTTTTTTCTTATCTGGAAGTTTAGTCAATTTCCAAGTTTTGTTCCTTTATATTGCCTCAAGTTCTTCTTTCATGGCATTAAGCCATTCTTTCTTCTTGAGAGCTTCTTCAACGCCCACTGGTTCAGAATCTACTAACATGGCACACTGAACGACTTCTCCATCAGAGTCAACTTCATTATCCTGAAACATGTCAAAGTCTGCAAACCTTCTTGGTTTTTGTCTGATTCTCTGTGGTCTTTAGGTTTGTTCTAAAGCTGCACCAGAACTACTACTTTCAGAGTTACCACCTTCAGTGTTTTCCCTTCCAGAACTATGATCACTACCAGATTCTGGATCATCATCAGCATCTGGATCAGAATCAGATCAATTTCCAGAATCTTCTTCTGACTCATCTTCAGAATCTTCAGGATCTTCAGAATCAAATTCATCTTCTGAACTCTCTAAAACATCTTCAGAGGCTAACTCTGGTGTTGGTACTACACCAGCATTTGATTGAGATTTGTTCCAATCCCATGCTTCAGACTCTTTCACCCACAACGTCTCTAGTGACTTCAAATTATTAGTTTCTGGATAATAAAGCTTATATGCACCTGTACTGTGGTACCCCACCAGTAACATTACTTTGCTTCTATCATCCAGTTTTTATCTTCTAACTTCTGGAACGTGTTTGTAACAGACAGAGCCAAACACCTTCAGATGACTGACACTTTGCTTATCTCCAGTCCATTTCTCTAAAGGAACAACTTCCTTTATTTTCTTCGTTGGACATCTGTTCAGAATATATGCTGATGTGGCAACAGCTTCTCCCCATAGCACGTGAGGTATCTTTTTCTCTTTCAGCATGCTTCTGGTCATATCAAGCAAATTTTTGTTTCTTCTTTCAGCAAGACCGTTGTGTTGAGGAGTATATGGAGCAGTAACCTCATGTTTTATTCCATTCTCCTCATATAACTTCTGAAACACTGCAGAGTTATACTCACCTCCACCATCTGTTCTCAGAATTTTTAACTTCTGACCACTCTGCTTCTCAGCCTTCAATTTGAATTTCTAGAACTCAGTAAACACTTCATGCTAGAACTTGATGAGTATTACCCATATCATTCTTGTGAACTCATCCACAAAAGACACAAAATAATTGTTTCCTCCAAGTGAAGATACTGGAAATAGTCCACACACATCAGAATGTACTACTCCTAGAGCATGCTTCGCTCTGGGGGCTACTTCTGATGTAAATGGAAATCTAGGTTGCTTGCCTTTCATGCATATCTCACATGACTTCTCAGGCTTCACAATCTTCAAAATACCATGTACAAGCTTCTTAGAACATAGATGCCCTAAGCTTCTATAGTTCAAATGCCCCAACCTCTTATGTCACAGCTTACTGTTACCTTCAGCGCCTTCTGCACTAAGACACGTTGCTTCAGCTATTTCTACATTTACCTTGAATGTTCTGTTGCCTCCTTGTTCAGACTTCATAATCAACTTCTGATTGAAATCATACAACATCAGAAGATTGTTTTTCATAACAACTGAGAAACCTTTCTCAATCAGCTGACCTACACTCATCATATTGCTTCTAATACCAGGAACATACCAAACGTCTTTGATCAAAACGTCTTTCCCATTCTCCACTCTAACTCTGACATCTCTCATACCTTCTGCATTAAGATACTTATCGTCAGCACATCTGATCTTTATTCTCCTTCTGGAGTCAAAGTCTGTCAGCCATTGTTTATTTCCAGTCAAATGATTTGAACAGCCAGTGTCTATATACCACCAATATTCTGAGCATTTTCCATCAGAATCAGAAGCCATTAGTAGTACAGGTTCATCATCAGAGTTTCTCTTAGCCATATATGCTTCTTTTGATTTCCTTTCCTTGTTTGACCTACAATCTCTGGCCAAATGGCCAAATTGTTTAAAAGAGTAACATTGAACCTTCATTCTGTCACACCTCTCCTTTCCTTTATGATATTTCTTATCATCAGAAGTTGAGGCTTCTGACTTCTGGAATCTATCACCACGTCTATTCTGCTTTTGGTCTTTCTTGACAAAAGAAGTCTTCAGAGCTTGCTCAGCTTCCCTCTCAAAAGTTCTCTCAGACAGGCGTAACTCCTGTGCTTCTAAGCTGCTTTACAATTATTCTATTCTCATAGTTTCCAGATCTTTAGAATGTTTAATAGAAACAACAATGTAATCAAACTAAGGAGTAAGCGACCTCAGAATCTTCTCTATGATTACCTGTTCAGATAGAGTTTCTCCACACGCCTTCATCTCGTTAGTGATCAAAATCACTCTGGAGATATATTCAGAAACTTTCTCATTGCTCTTCATGTTCAGGTTCTCATATTGCTTTTGTAGGGATTGAAGCTTCACCTTCTTTACTGATGCGTCACCACCGTAACATCTCATCAGCAAACCCCACGCCCCTTTTGACGTTTTTGAATCAACAATCTTCTCAAACACACTTTCATCCACACACTGATAGATATAGAACAGAGCTTTCTAGTCCTTCTTCCTCATCATCCTCTCAGTAGTTCTCTGTTCTTCAGTTGCATCTGCTGCAGTTGGTACATAACCATCTGTAACCAGATCCAGGACATCTTGCGCACTAAACAACACACACATTTGTATCATCCATCTGTTCCAATTTTTACCATTAAAAACTAAGAGTTTGGTGTTCAAACTACTGTCTCCACTCATTTTAAACCTTGCACGGATTTTTTCAGATCTTCAAACACACTGTTTCCCAACCCACGGAATCAGATCCTGTTCAGATTTTGTTCAAGATTTCAACAGAAAAATCAATGAACCAAAATCAAACACACAGCTCACAAACACTCGTGTTTCCCAAGATAAAAAGAACCAAGTGCTCTAGATACCAATTTGTTTGTGCAAGGTAATGAAAGGAGAGAAGAAGAATGAACAATGAATGATAACAAAGAGGACTACTATTGTATATCAATAGAAGAATGAATGAGTTACAATATTGATAGCCTAGATAACATATTTATACTAAAATTGAAAATGCCAAAAGGCCATATTAAAGAATAAGCATTGGGAATTGTAGACATTAACTAAATTATATTTCCAATATTCAGTCCCAAATGTTTCCCTTGCGATATGATTCAGAGATACTATTTTAAATTATTCTATAGTCGTAGAGGTATACATCATTGACTGAACTACATTAACAAAGATTAATTATGCTCATTATCTTTTATTTTTATTTCTATATTGTTTATTCTAACAAACATCAATTTAAAACATTATGGATAAAAATTAAGTGTGAAATGAATGTAAATAGTTAATGAAAAAAATATACTTGGCAGTTTACTTCAGGAACTTTGAGATGAGATTGAGAACTAATAGAATCCTTAAACTCCTGAGTTAAAGATCTTCTCCACGTATTCATACCATCTTGACAAGAAGGACCCAAAATATATTCATAATTAATTCCTGAAATACACTGCAAATAGAATAGTTTTAAAATATATAAAAATGAATGAATGATTAAAATGAAAGAGAAAATGATACATTAAAATTTAATATCCTCTTTTTTAATGATTATACATAAAAGTGGGATGGTTTACTTGCCTCTTTAAAGGACTGGATATCTCTTAAACATAGTACATTTCTGGAATCTACATCTATGTAGTTTTCTTTGCAATTTCTCTTAAGTGACTGTAGTCAATAAATAACATTGAATCAAATGGAGAATTTAATAAGAATAAGAATAAAAATAAAAATAAGAATAAGAATACCGCATATAGTTCATCAGAAATGAGTGCCATTCCATGAGCATATGGAACTCGATAATTAAATTCTTTGTATCCTGTCACTGGATTTCCTAAAAGATATCTCTGAAAATTTCAAGATATGATAGAAAACTAACAAAGGTTATTAGGGTTTTAAAAATTGATTTTTGATAGTATTTTTATTACTAATTAAAGCAACAAACATATATTGTAATTAGAAACCTGGAGATTTATCAAGGGTAGGAGACCTTTTTCATTTCCTGTTAACCAAATAAATGGAAAAATATAAGTGTTACTATAATTCAATGATTAATTTTTATTAAAATTAGTTATTTAAAATTTCTAACCATTTATAATTTCTTGAACAATGGCAGGGACAGGAATTCCAGAATATGAATCTCCTCCCATATAGAATTCATTTGAAAGAAATTCTGGATGATTAATCAACCACTACAAATATAAATAATTTTTGCAAAATGATGAGAAAATAATGAAAATAATATAATTTTTTTAGCCATGTCTAGGAGAATTCTTCTAAAATAAACGGTAAGAAAAGAGAAAAGGACAAAGCATGACAAATAAATGATAATATATATATATATATATATATAGTATATATATATATATATATATATATATATATATATATATATATATATATATATATATATATATATATATATATATATATATATATATATAAAGGAGATATTAAATCTTGATGTAGTATTTTCTTCTAATTTTTCTCTTCACCTAAAGTATTTAATGTAAGAGATAACAAAAATGTTTTAAATTTGTTATTAGAGATAAAATAGATGTTTTTAAATTTGTTGTAACAAACTATTATTTTATTAACTATCTTTTTAAAGTCATGTAACACCGACACTTCTGAAATAAAGCGTATTGTATTTGTGTTAATGTGAGACACTTGTACTGACACTTATATTTATGTTTAATTTATTTATTTATTTTTAATTATTATCGATACTGCCGTGTCAATGTCTGAGTCATGTTCAGAGTATCTATGTTTCATGGTTTCAAAGCAAAGTGTTTGGAAATTATTGGATATCCTGCTAATTAGGATTCAAGAAGAATTCGGAAAAGAGACAGTAATACCTTTCGAAGAAATTGATGAGTATGGTGAACAATCTTCCAGTCACTTCTTTGAGCACTGGTATTTTTTGCATAGGAGAAACCAGTTCCAAATGGCAAATCTACAAAAATAATACTACATAGCTGTCCAAAGAAAAATTTGATTCATAGAGTTATCTCAACATAAATTTTGGATTAACATTACTACTTGAAATAAGTTTTTTTTTTACGGGTACTTGAAATAAGTTTTAGAATTATTGAAATTCTCTTTACACCTTTGTCCATGATTCTGGCCTCAAGATCAAATTAGGCAAGCTCTCGTTGTACTCCTTTATTTCAAATTTAATTGGACCTATAGTAAATAAAAAATTAATTGAAGATTTGTTTGAATTGATGGAATGAAAATGAGTGATATTTTATTGTTTGGATGATTTAAGATTGAATAAAGTGGAAAAGAATGAAATGGTATACATTGTAATTTATTTATTATTATATTTCTTCTCCTTCGATTTAAACGGAATGCAAAATTTGTCTTATCCCAGTTTAAAATTTTTAATAATAAAATAAAATTTTTACTCCGCTATTATGTTAGTGCAAGGTGATGAAATTGAGGAAGAAGAGAGAAAAAGAATAAAATGCTAAAAGCTGTCACTAATGATTGAAGGAATTGATTGTTTTTAAATGTAAACCTAGTACACTTATTTATACACAAAATAGTAAAGATAAGAATGCCACATAGGACCTAAAGGGAATATCCTACATATGACAAATACTAAATTACCCTCTAATATCATCCCGTAATTTAGTAACTTATCAGAAGTTAACAACATCAATTTCATCTCTCAAGCGAAGAAATTGGTCTGTTTTTATCGCCTTTGTCAGAACATCTGCTAGCTGCTTTTGAGTGCTACAGTGCAGAACTTCTAACACTCCTTTCTGCACTTGACTTCTGAGAAAGTGATATTTCGTCTCAATGTGCTTGCTTCTTCCATGTAGCACTGGATTCTTTGCAAGATTAATTGCAGACTTATTATCAATCATCAGCTTCAGAGGTTCCTCAACTTCAACCTTCAGATCATGCAGCAGATTTAGAAGCCAAACTGCTTGACAAGCAGCTACAGCACCTGCAATGTATTCAGCTTCACATGTTGACAAAGCCACAACAGGTTGTTTCTTGGAACTCCAAGAAATTGGACCTCCCAGAAACTTGAACAAGTACCCAGAAGTACTTCTTCTGTCAACTCTATCTCCACACCAATCAGAATCAGAATAACTCAGAAGTTCTGATTTGATCTTTCCTCCAGAAGGAAATAACACTCCATATTTCAGAGTTCCTTTTACATACCTCAGAATCCTGACAGCAGCTCGGTAATGAGACCACTTTGGTTTGCTCATGTATCTGCTGACCATTCCAACTGCATAGCAAATATCAGGTCTGGTATTACACAAATACCTCAGAGAACCAACCATCTGTTTGAAGGTTGTAGCATCCACATCCTCTCCATCAGAATCAGAATCCAACTTCTGATTCATATCAGCAGGTGTGATAGCAACCTTGCAAATTGCTAGCTCAAATCTCTTCAGAAGCTCCGGTTCATACTTCTTCTGATGTAAGATGATTCCTTTCTCAGAGTATATAAATTCCATCCCTAGAAAGAAACTCATTTTCCAAGATCTGTCATCTCAAACGCATTCATCAGAACTTTCTTGAACTCAATTGTTTCTTGTTCAGAACTTCCTGTGAGTAATATGTCATCAACATACAAACAGACCAGAATCATATTACCTTCTGAAGTGTGCTGAACATAAACACCATACTCCATCTCACACTTCTGAAACCCTTGTTCCTTGAAAAACGAATCAATCTTCAAATTCCAAGCTCTGGGCGCTTGCTTCAGTCCATACAGAGCTTTATTTAACCTGTATAACATCCCTTCCTGATTCTTTTTCACAAATCCAGGAGGTTGTGACACATAAACTTCTTCTTGTAATGGACCGTTCAGAAATGCAGACTTCACATCCAGATGTATCAAAGGCCAATTTCTATTTGCAGCTAAAGCAATCACCAGTCTGATTGTTTCGTGTCTAGCTACAGGCGCAAACACCTCAAAGTAATCTAGTCCAGGTTTCTGAAGAAAACCTCTGGCCACTAGTCTCGCTTTGTGTTTGCCAATTGATCCATCTGGCTTTAGCTTCTGCTTGAAAACCCATCTGACGCTGATGGCTTTCTTGCCTTTTGGAAGTTCTGTCAGCTTCCAAGTCTTGTTTCTTTCAATAGCCTCAAGTTCTTCTTTCATGGCATTCAGCCATACTTTCTTCTTGAGCGCTTCTTCAATACCCACTGGTTCAGAATCTACTAGCATGGCACACTGAACGATTTCTACTTCAGAATCTACTTCAGTATCATGCAACATGCTAAAATCTGCAAACCTACTTGGTATTCGTCTGATTCTCTGTGGCCTCTGATCTTGTTCTGAAGCTTCTCCAGAACTCGGAACTGTGCTGGCTTCTGGACTTTGTCCAGAATTATTTCCTTCAGAATTACCACCTTCAGAGTTACTTCTGGAAACTTGTTCTCCAGACCCCATGTCTTCAGAGTTTTCCCTTCCAGAAGTATAATCACCACCAGATTCTGGATCATCATCAGAATCTGGATCAGAATCAGACCCACTATCAGAATCTCCCTGAGATTCTGACTCATCTTCAGAGTCTTCATCTTCTGACTCGTCTTCAGAACTTTCTGAATAATCTTCAGAAACTAACCCTGGTGTTGGCGCTACACCAGAATCTGATTGAAGCTTGTTCCAATCCCATGTTTCTGACCCTTTCACAATGACGTCTCTGCTGATCTCAACTTTGTTGGTTTCTGGACAGTAAAGCTTATAGGCACATGTACTGTGGTACCCCACCAGTAACATTGTTTTGCTTCTATCATCCAGTTTTCGTCTTCTAGCATCTGGAACGTGTTTGTAGCATACAGAACCAAACACCTTCAGATGGCTAACACTTTGCTTGTCTCCAGTCCATTTTTTCTAAAGGAACAGTTTCCTTCAGCTTCTTTGTTGGACACCTATTCAGAATATATGCTGATGTGGCAACAGCTTCTCCCCATAACATGTGAGGTAACTTCTTCTCTTTCAGCATACTTCTGGTCATATCAAGCAAAGTTCTGTTTCTTCTTTCAGCAAGACCGTTGTGCTGAGGAGTATATGGAGCAGTAACCTCATGTTCTATTCCATTCTCCTCACAGAACTTCTGAAACTCTGTAGAGTTATACTCACCTCCACCATCTGTTCTCAGAATCTTCAGCTTCTGACCACCCTGCTTCTCAGCCTTCACCTTGAACTTCTAGAACTCAGTAAACACTTCATGCTTGAATTTGATGAGTGTTGCCCATGTCATTCTTGTGAACTCATCCACAAAAGACACAAAATATTTGTTTCCTCCAAGTGAAGGTACTGGAAATGGTCCACACACATCAGAATGTACTACTCCCAGAGCATGCTTTGCTCTGGGGGCTACTTCTGATGCAAATGGCAATCTGGGTTGCTTGCCTTTCATGCATATCTCACATGACTTCTGAGGCTTCACAATCTTTGAAATGCCATGTACGAGCTTCTTAGAACTTAGATGCCCTAAGCTTCTATAGTTCAAGTGCCCCAACCTCTTGTGCCACAACTTACTATCAGCTTCAGCGCCTTCTGCACTAAGACACTCCGCTTCAGAAGTTTCTACATTCACCTTGAATGTTCTGTTGCTTCCCTGCTCAGACTTCATAATCAACTTCTGATTAGAATCATACAACGTCAAGAGATTGTCCTTCATAACCACTGAAAAACCTTTCTCAATAAGCTGCCCCACACTCATCAGATTGCTTTTAATTCCAGGAACATACTAAACATCTTTGATCAGAATGTTTTTCCATTCTTCACTCTGACTCTAACATTTCCCATACCTTCTGCATTAAGGTACTTATCATCAGCACATCTGATCTTTGTTCTCCTTCTGGAGTCAAAGTCTATCAGTCATTGTTTGTTCCCAGTCAAGTGGTTTGAATAGCCAGTGTCCATATACCACCAATCTCCTGAACAGTTTCCATCAGAATCAGAAGCCATCAGTAGCACAGGTTCATCATCAGAATCTTCTCTGGCTATATTTGCTTCTTCTGATTTCCTTCCTCTGTTTCTACAGTCTCTGGCAAAATGGCCAAACTGTTTACAGCAGTAACATTGAACCTTCTTCTTGTCATACCTTTCCTTTCCCTTCTGATATTTCTTTTCATCAGAAGTTGAGGTTTCTGACTTCTGGAATTTATCACCATGTCTATTTTGCTTCTGGTCCTTCTTGACAAAAGAAGCCTTCAGAGCTTGCCCCACTTCCCTCTCAGAAGTTCTTTCAGTCAGATGCAACTCTTGCGCTTCTAGACTGCTTTGCAACTCTTCTATTCTCATGGTTTCCAGATTTTTAGAATGTTCAATAAAAACAACAATGTAATCAAACTGAGGAGTAAGTGACCTCATAATCTTTTATATGATTACCTATTCAAAAAGTGTTTCTCCACAAGCTTTCATCTCATTAGTGATCATAATCATTCTGGAGATGTACTCTGAAACTTTCTCACTGTTCTTCATGTTGAGATTCTCATATTGCTTTTGCAGGGACTGAAGCTTCACCTTCTTCACTGACGCGTCACCACTGTAACATCTGACCAGTATATCCCATGTCCCTTTCGACGTCGTCGAATCAACAATCTTCTCAAACACATTTTCATCCACACACTGATGGATAAAGAATAGAGCTTTCTGATCCCTCTTCCTCACAGCTCTTTCTTTTGATTTTTGTTCTTCAGTAGCATCTGCTGCAACTGGAACATAACCTTCAGAAACAAGATCCAAAACATCTTGAGCACCAAACAGCACACGCATTTGTATCTTCCATCTGTTCCAGTTTTTGCCATCAAAAACTGGAAGTTTAGTGTTCAAACTACTGCCTCCATTCATCTTAAACCTTGTACAAAAACTCAGATCTCAGATTTCTCACTCAGTGTTTCCCAAACCCACATAATCAGTGTGATTCTGTTTCAGATTTTTGTTCAAGATTCAAAAAATCAAACACACAGCTCACTATCACTCGTGTTTCCCAGAATTTCAGAATAAACCAAGAAGCTCTAGATACCAATTTGTTAGTGCAAGGTGATGAAATTGAGGAAGAAGAGAGAAAAAGAATAAAATGCTAAAAGCTGTCACTAATGATTGAAGGAATTGATTGTTTTTAAATGTAAACCTAGTACACCTATTTATACACAAAATAATAAAGATAAGAATGTCACATAGAACCTAAAGGGAATATCCTATATATGACAAATACTAAATTACCCTCTAATATATTATACTATATTTCACTTTGTTCTGCCTAATTGTGTTAGATTTATTTTATTTATTTTTATGATATTTAAAGATAACTTTAATATTTTAAAAAATTACCTATTTCAATGATAAGGCCAGAAATAGAAGAACAGCCAGGGCCACCACTCAACCAAAGCATAAGAGGATCTTTTTGAGGATTATTTTCTGATTTGATGAAATAATAGAACACTTGCATGTCGTCATCATCATCTGTTTCTCCTAACCCCACATACCTATCAAACATGCATGACACAACTACATTATCTTCCACACCACACACTGCAATTTCACGTGACTTTGTACATTGAATCACTCATAAATAGATAATCTAAATAAATTATTTTGTGTCCTGCCAAATAAATTTATTGCGTGATTATTATATAATAAAAAATTGTCTGTAGTAATGTGATAATCACGTTATTATATTTTTTAATATTAAATATAATAGTTTTTAATTTATGACGTAGAGATTTATTTTATTTTTTTAATTAAAAATTAGTTGCAGCATGTTTATTACATCACAAATTTTAAATTTTAAAAAAATAAATCAAAAATGACTGACGTTCAGAAAGAGAGAAATTTAAAATTTTTATATAATTGATTGCAACATGGAAAACACGTTACAAATTTAAGTTTTATCGACTTAATATTATTAATAAATAGTTTTAATATATGTCTTGAATTGATATAAAAATCATAAACAAAAACGAGGATTTAAGTGTGACATCTCATTTTTTTTTCATCTTTAAACAATGAAATTTCAGTCAATAGATTGAAAGATAAAAAAAATTATATTTTTTAAAAGTGATATGATAGTTAAATATATAATAATAATATAAATTAGAGTAAATATATTAATTATTTAATAAATTTAAAAAATAAATTATTATTTATAATAATAATAATCAAAAATATAATTATATATAATATAATTTTAAATATAATATTTTAGTTAATATTTAATATTTTCCTAATTAAAATTCACCTCTATGTACTTGTATATATAACAAAGCAATTTGATAAAGATTCTTAATTATTAACCAAATTAAGTGTCTGTTTATTTTGATTTTTTTTTAAATAATTTTTATAATATCATAATTTCTGTACAAAAATTATAAAGAAATTTTTTATAAAAACTTACTAGTATTCCAATAATAGAAAATGGAATGGTTAAGATTGATTACCCGGTTTCAAGTTGAAAAGGAAGTGGCCCTTGAAAACCAGGAAGGTGTTCAACCCTTGAGCTAGAAGAAGCTTCCATGTGAGTTAACATCTGCATACTGAAAAGCACACCAAGAGTAACTAGAATCTTAAAACTACTAGAACTAGGAATCATCATCGTGTTCATCTTTGCAAGCTCAGTTATTTACTGCTTGAGATAAGAACGATGTGTGAATGAATAGAGAGAGGGGATATATCGAAAGGCTTTTATATTGAATAAAAGCTTTTGACTAAAAAACAAAACTAATATTGAATGTTATTATAAATTAATAAATAAATAAATTTTATATTGACTAATATTTTAGTTAAATATTTTAGATTTTCTTGATTTTAAATAAATAGGTTTTGGATAATAGCCGAACACGACCGAATGCAAGTATCCAAACACGTTGTTTATGTTTGACAATATATACAGTCAATAATGTCACCTAATAATGATGTAGTTTAAGACGAAAACTTGTTATAAATTTCTCGTGACAGATAAGTAAACTAATTACAAAATATATTAATGCATAAAACTAATATATAGTATATGTGACAGTTTGTCTTTAACTTGCTTTGGTATCGTAGAAACATTGTCTTCTATGTAACATTCATTCAAGGACATGTAACTTTTCAACATCCATTCCGTTCAATATCATAATCATAAAGCAATGAGTTTTATTTAACGTTATCTATAATCATGTTAACAAATTGTTCTTCGCATACTGGAAGGCTCAAAAGGCACAAAGGTCCAACACTAGAGGGAGAACAAATTTAGACTTAAGTAAAAACTATTCTTCGTGGAACAAAACTTTTATCCTCCGTCGAGATTACCAATCTTTGACTTCAACTAAAGTGTAGATCTCCATTTCGAAATAAATCTCATCAAGTTTTGCAGTCGAATTTCTCATACCGAAATTATCAGACAATGACACCATTAAAAGTCACTCGTTTTGCCTCTCAACGGCAAGTTGGTGCAGCATCAAAAGTTATTGGTGCAAGGTGATGAAATTGAGGAAGAAGAGAGAAAATGATGAATGATAAAAGTTGTTATAAATGATTGAAAAAGGATTGTTGTAATTAATGAAACCTAGTACACCTATTTATACACAAAAATAGTAAAGATAAGAATGTCACATAGACCCTAAAAGAGAATATTCCAAATATAGCAAATACTAAATTATCCCTTTTAATACCATCCCTTAATTTAGTATCTATCAGAAACTAACAACATCAATTTCATTCCTCAAATGAAGAAATTTGTCTGTTTTTATTGTCTTCGTCAGAACATCTGTCAGCTGCTTCTGGGTACTATAGTGCAGAACTTCTAACACTGCTTTCTGCACTTGACTTCTCAGAAATATACCTCAGAATCCTGACAGCAGCTTAGTAATTAGACCACTTTGGTTTACTCATGAATCTGCTAACCATTCCAACTGCATAGAAAATGTCAGGTCTGGTTGCACAAGTACCTGGGAGAACCAACCAACTGCTTGAAGGTCGTAGCATCCATAAAATCACCATCAGAATCAGAATCCGATTTATGATTGGTTTCTGATGGTGTTACAGCAACTTTACAATTCTGCAGCTTAAATCTCTTCAGAAGTTCAAGTTCATACTTCAGCTGATGTAGAATGATATCCTTCTTTGAGTACAGAATCTCCATTCCTAGAAAATAGACCATATTTCCCAGATCTGTCATCTCAAATTCATTCATCAAAACTTCTTTGAACTTGATTATATCTTCTGGACAACTTCCTGTTAGAAATATGTCATCAACATATAGACACACCAGAATCATATTGCCAACCAGAATGCTGCACATACACACCATATTCCATCTCACATTTCTGAAACTTTTGCCTCTTGAAAAACAAATCAATTTTCAGATTCCAAGCTTTGGGCGCTTGTTTCAGTACATACAAGGCTTTATGTAACTTGTATATCATCCCTTCCTGATTCTTTTTCATAAATCCAGGAGGTTGTGACACATATACCTCTTCTTGTAACGGGCCATTCAGATATGCAGACTTCACATTCAGATGTATCAAAGGCCAATTTTTGTTTGCAGCTAAAGCAATCACCAGTCTGATTGTTTCATGTCTAGCTACAAACGCAAACATCTCAAAGTAATCTAGCTCGGGTTTCTGAAGAAAACCTCTAGCCACTAGTCTCGCTTTGTGTTTGCCAATTGTTCCATCTGGCTTAAGCTTCACCTTGAAAACCCATCTGACGTTGATGGCTTTCTTCTTTTTTGGAAGCTTTATTAACTTCCAAGTTTTGTTTTTTTCAATAGCCTCAAGTTCTTCCTTCATGGCATTCAACCATACTTTCTTCTTGAGAACTTCTTCAATACCTACTGGTTCAGAATCTACTAACATGGTACACTGAACGACTTCTCCTTCAGAATCTACTTCAGTATCATGCAACATGCTAAAATCTCAAACCTACTTGGTATTTGTCTGATTCTCTGTGGCCTCTGAACTTGTTATGAAGCTTATCCAGAACTTGGAACAGTGCTAGCTTCTGGACCTTGTCCAGAAATACTTCCTTCAGAATTACCACCTTCAGAGTTACTTCTGGAAGCTTGTCCTCCAGACCTTCAGAGTTTTCCCTTCCAGAAATATAATCACCACCAGATTCTCGATCATCATCAGAATCTGGATCAGAATCAGATCCACTATTAGAATCTCCCTGATATTTTGGCTCATCTTTAGAGTATTTAGAATCATATTCATCTTCTGACTCTGACTCGTCTTCAGAACTTTCTGAAGAATCTTCATAAACTAGCTCTGGTGTTGGCATTACACTAGAATCTGATTGAGACTTGTTCCAATCTCATGTTTTTTACTCTTTTACAATAACATCTCTGCTGATTTCAACTTTGTTGGTTTATGGACAATAAAGCTTATAGGCACTTGTACTGTGGTACCCCACCAGTAACATTACTTTGCTTCTATCAGAACATATGTTGATGTGGCAACAACTTCTCCCCATAACATGTGAGGTAGCTTCTTCTCTTTCAGCATACTTCTGGTCATATCAAGCAAAGTTCTCTTTCTTCTTTCATCAATACCATTGTGATGAGGAGTATATGGAGCAGTAACCTCATGTTCTATTCCATTCTCCTCGCAGAACTTCTGGAACTCTGTAGAGTTATATTTACCTCCACCATCCGTTCTCAGAATCTTCAACTTCTGACCACTCTGCTTCTCAGCCTTCACCTTGAACTTCTAGAACTAAGTAAACATTTCATGCTTGAACTTGATGAGTGTTACCCATGTCATTCTTGTGAACTCATCCACAAAAGACAAAAAATATTTATTTCCTCCAAGTGAAGATGTTGGAAATAGTCCACACACATCAGAATGTACTACTCCCAAAGCATGCTTCGCCCTGGGGGATACTTCTGATGCAAATGGAAATCTGGGTTGCTTGCCTTTCATGAATATCTCACATGACTTCTGAGGCTTCAAAATCTTCGAAATTCCATGCACAAGCTTCTTAGAACTTAGATGCCCTAAGCTTCTATAGTTCAAGTGCCCCAACCTCTTGTGCCACAGCTTACTGCCACCTTCAGCGTCTTCTGCACTAAGACACTCTGCTTCAGTTGTTTCTACATTCACCTTGAATATTATGTTGCTTCCCTGCTCAGACTTCATAATTAACTTTTGATTGGAATCATATAACGTTAAGAGGTTGTCCTTCATAACAACTGAGAACCCTTTCTCAATGAGCTGATCCACACTCATCAGACTGCTTTTAATTCCAGGAACATACCAAACATCTTTGATCATAATGTTTTTTCCATTCTTCACTCTGACTCTGACATTTCCCATACCTTCTACATTAAGATACTTATCATCAACACATCTGATATTTGTTCTCCTTTTAGAGTCAAAGTCTAGCAGCCATTGTTTGTTCCCAGACAAGTGGTTTGAACAACTAGTGTTCATATACCACCAATCTTCTGAACACTTTCCATCAGAATCAGAAGCCATTAGTAGCACAGGTTCATCATCAGAATCTCCTCTAGCCATATTTGATTCTTCTGATTTCCTTCCTCTGTTTCTACAATCTCTGGCAAAATGTCCAAATTGTTTACAACAATAACATTGAACTTTCTTCTTGTCATACCTTTCCTTTCCCTTCTGATATTTCTTTTGATCAGAAGTTGAGGTTTCTGACTTTTGGAATTTATCACAACGTCTATTCTGCTTCTGGTCCTTCTTGACAAAAGAAGCCTTTAGAGCTTGCTCAACTTCCCTCTCAGAAGTTCTTTCAGTCAGACGCAACTCCTACGCTTCTAGACTGCTTTGTAACTCTTCTATTCTCATGGTTTCCAAATTTTTAGAATGTTCAATAGAAACAACAATGTAATCAAACTGAGGAGTAAGTGACCTCAGAATCTTCTCTATGATTACCTGTTCAGAAAGTGTTTCTCCACAAGCTTTCATCTCATTAGTTATCAAAATCATTATGGAGATGTACTCAGAAACTTTCTCATTGTTCTTCATGTTGAGATTCTCATATTGCTTTCACAGGGACTGAAGCTTCACCTTCTTCACTGACGCGTAACCACCATAACATCTGACTAGTACATCCCATGCCTCTTTCGACATCGTCGAATCAACAATCTTCTCAAACACACTTTCATTCACGCATTGATGGATATAGAACAGAGCTTTCTGATCCCTCTTCCTCGTAGCTCTTTCTGCAGATATTTGTTCTTCAGTAGCATCTGCTGCAACTGGAACATAACCATTGGTAATAAGATCCAAAACATCCTGAGCACCAAACAGCACATGCATCTGTATCATCCATTTGTTCCAGCTTTTGCCATCAAAAAATGGAAGTTTGGTGTTCAAGCTACTGCCTCCACTCATCTTAAATCTTGCACAAATCTCAGATCTCAGATCTCACTCAGTGTTTTCCTAACCCACAGAATCAGTGTGATTCTATTTAGATTTTGTTAAAGATTCAACAGAAATCAAACACACAACTCACTTTTAACTCGTGTTTCCTAGAATTTCAGAAGAAACAAGTGCTCTGATACCAATTTTGTTGGTTCCAGGTGATGAAATTGAGGAAGAAGAGAGAAAATGATGAATGATAAAAGCTGCTACAAATGATTGAAAATGGATT